TTTCAACACTTTTCGTTTTCATGCTTTGCGAGTAGAAATGATTGTAGCCGGTGGTGTGGAGATCGGTAAAAGAAAGCTGCTTGTTGAAGGAACCGAAGGCAAAGTACCACATGACCGGATGAAGAGGTGAAACGAGTCAATTTTGTCATCGATGTGCAAGTCAAAAGCATGGATTCAAGGATGGAGCCACGTACAGAGCCACATGAGGGACTACTTCAAATAGTCGTTGAAATTATGCCCATACGACAGTTCGCTTGCTTAATAAAGGAAGTGGACATCACCACGTTGTGGCTCGCCTATGATTTGCAGTTCCGTTCCACTTGCTTCGCGTAGCAATGCAACTTTCAGAGCCCAAGCAGTTGAATGGGCTCTTCACTGAGGTCATCCACATATTCCCTAGCAAGAAGGAAGCACTAAAAAAAACCTATTCGGTGATTGAAAAAGGCTTATGGCGCCGTTAACCGAGTTCGAGGGGACTGGAGGTACAAAAGCTGACATTTGGGAAGGGTCACCTCTGGAGTAACTTTAATGGGCAGCGCTTTGAAGAAGTCTTTCGGTGTACCGGAAGCGCGTAGAGCGATGCCCAATGCCACTACGCCTTCCATTTTTTTAAACCCTTTTTTAAAATCCGCTTTGCTTACTTTACCTCATTGCTGCTTCCTAGAGAGACGAGTCGTGTCCCTCTTCTTTTAACCCTTAACTCCGTCCTCTTGGGGTTATTTATAAACTTCTACGGTACAGCAAAGGTCTTCGCATTAAGTGAAAGCTAATTCAAACATTTTAAGTCGGTTGGTTGTTAAGCACGAGATTTTGGATGTGAATGCGGAATTTCACGATCGTGCGAGGATCAGTAACGAGGCTCCCCGCCTCAGCTGACTTTGACGTCTACTGTGACCGCTACGGCAATTCTATTAACGGCAAAAGTGACATCAGACGCATAAAACATCCAAGAAAGATATGTTGCAAAATGTCGGCGGTATGGACACGTGGGGCCAAACTGGATAAGGTGGTTACGAGAATCAAAAGTCGGACTATTCAAAACGGCATCTCGTGTTGCATGCAGTAGTCCTATGACTGACAATGAACAAAAGGGATGAACAGCATAATTTTCCCTTTTTGATGCAGGTTACAAAGTTAATGAGTCTCCAGTGTCAATAAAATCTCGACCCGACATCTCCTTAACTGCACATCACCAAGTATTTCTCCCTACAGCCCCAACGGCATTGTTTCAATTGCCGTTGCATGTTAGGCCAGGAGAGCTTTGGGATGACTCTCCAAGAGGAGAGGGACTGTTCGGTACATTAGTTTATCCCTTTGTTTCATTGTTTTACCTTTGCCGGATTGGCGGCGAACCTTCAGCCTTACTTTAAGCCCTCAATCCACACTCACTGAGAAGTCTCGAAACACTGCAAGTACAAAGTCCGTTTCATCTTTCTGACTTAACGTAGATTCTGATCAAGAAATATATTTTTACTTGAATGTTGCTCCACCTCAATTGAACGAGAGGTACTTTTAACTAATCGCCTTCTTTGCAGTAATAACTGCCCTTCCTTGGAGGATTTTTCGCCATAAAATTTACAGTAAATGTGGTGAGCGTAAAAGTGGTTTGTCCAGACCAACGGATAACAGCCATAGGTGGCAACAGGACCACTTTTCATGCGTTTTGCGCCGTATCTGCGCAGAAGGGCAAAGTTTTGTTAAGCCAATGCCAAAGGCTTAAGATTGCTACTTGGTAGACATCGACTTCATTCATGTCTTTGCAATGTCGATTTACCGGTTTTCAAGCAGGACCCAAAGCCATTCTCAGGACTACGAAACTCATGAATGTCAGTAGCATTTCCCAAGGCACTCAAACTTCTGACCCTGAGATAGTGCTAAAGTGAACTTTTTGTGGAATAGAATGCATCAAATGACCAAAGGTGAAGACCTTTGTGATTGTTTGTATTTGCAACTTCCCCAACAACACTCACTTCGCACATCCTTACGTGGTAGGCACCAGGTCTGATGGACTTTGCAGAAGCTAATTGGCCACTGTTTTTCACCCTTCTGCCGTGCATGGAGGTTTCCAACGGTTCAAATGTCTGCTAGGCTGCCGTGAATAGGGGGACTCGAGGTGACCTAGACTACTGGCTACCCCTCACTACAGTATGCAGTGCTGTAGCGTGCCCCTGTTTGGAAGCCAAACAGCCAATGTGAGTTGAATGTCTTTTGAGCGCATGAGAGTAGTTGAGCCATTCGTGGGAGAACGATTCTTGGCACATCAACAGAATTGCTGGTGCTGAAGTCAGTCACATCATTCTCATTACTGAGGAGTTGTGCAACCAAAGTAAAAAAAAGATTCTGTTCTGCATTTTACAGTGATGAAGCGCGCGATTTTCCGATCCTCTGCGGAATCATACCGGGGAAAGCTTGTCTATATTGCGAATTATTGGGACTGAAGTTGATCGGCGATTTTTATAAACTGACACAGTTCACATCTTTGATGAAAATAGTCTGTACTGACAGTTCGTGCCGCCCTGACTAGAAATCAAAAAAAGGGGAAAAAATGGCAAGGAAAAAGGCTAGCGTATCATAGTCAAAAGGCAAAGACCAAAAAGTTTCTTCTTTCAAATAAAGCTAAAGTTGTTATGTGTCTTCCATTGGTTTCCAAAAGACCTCAGAGGGCAAACACTTTCATTTCTGTTACTTAAATTTAAACTTTGGAGGGTAAGAGAAGTGCTTCCGGTGAGAGATGATGAAAGGAAGGGTGAGGGAGGATTAGTGCCGGTCCCTCACAGAAAGGCTGCAAATTACATCCACCTTAGACAGTTGCTCAGCTCCGTGATTCATGGTAAAACCGTCTGCTGCTGCAAAAAGCTCTATTGCGCCTGACCTTCTCTAGCAGAGATAATTACAAGATATCTACGATGCTTCCATGAAGGTGCCAATGGCATGGGCATGTGTCGCCTCCGCCCTCCCCTACTCCATCTCCCCAGTGGCTTGCTAGAGCCCAATATGGATGTGGCCGGACAGCGCCGAAGATGGAGCATCGTGGCGACGAAAGAGAATCTATTTTAAGCCCAACATAGGGAGTAAATAAAGGATAAAATTGAATCCAGTTTAAAAGAAATTACTTCCACCGCACATATTTTCTTATGCTCTCAGGGGCTTGATATCTTATCGCCAATACATTCTCGGTTATTTTCAAAAAGAATGGAAAAGTTAAGACAGAATGTGGGAGATTGCTGTTCTAAAAGTCCATTCATTACATCACGAAACGTCTTAGTCTCTCGCCTGTCTCTTTCACCGGGCATTGTAGGCAATATATGACCCACTTCTGCCATAAACCGGCAAATTTATGGCAACAGAAAAGAGTTTGCGGATTTTTCCAAGCAGTTTGCCACTTGTTTAGTAAGTTAACCTGTACGACTGCAGTATTTACCTTGCGCCAGCTTCTTCCAACTTTCCTTTCTTGAATCAAACTGCTGTGTAGGAGCGACAAATGTGTAAACTTTCCTGTGGATGAAAATGGATGGAATACAGGACAGAAAGTGTACTGCTGAGGTGCGAAAGAGCGTGAGGAGGCAGAAGGTCATGCAGCCTCGTGGAGGTGCCACAGAGGAGTCCGGAGCGCCTTAAATTCCATTAAGGGGATGGAACAGTAATCAAAGTTACCAAAGCTATGGTAGGACTGAATTACCTTGCAGACTTGAGGGATTTGCCGTCCACTGCACCTACAGACACAATGCATTTACCTTCTCCAGAAAAAAAGGGAATGCCAGAAAATATGTTATTTTGCCAATCCAAATGAAAACCATTATTGTCTAAGTGAAGGAGAGCGTTTCGCAGAACCTCATCTAAATGCCAACTCAAGTGATATTTTATTCATTCGTGCGCTAAATTCTTGTCAAATATCAACACCTAATTATCTACAGGTTCTGATTTCTCCATTTCTATGATGAACTATATTTATGAAGTTGAAAGAGTTTATGCATTCCCTGTTTATGCGACTGCTCAAATAAGTAATTCTACATATGCATAATCAAAAACGATTGGGTTGAGTACATTCAATACATGGGCATGCTTACTGGAGTAATCGGAGTTATACTACGGACTATTATTTTAATTATTTTTATCGCCGTCAATGGATATAATTGATTTATCAGTATAGGTCCAGGCCGTATGGGTTAATGCACCCTTTTAAAATTGTGCTAGGGCAGGTATTGTTGCAAAGGCCAATTCACGACAAAAAAGGCTTAATAACCATTTAGGTATAATTCATAATTTGTTCCTCTTGGCAAATGAGACAAAGTTGAGGGAAATATTGTGGAAAAGGTTCTCAATATATGTTCTGTGTTCAAATGACTCTTATAGGTAAGGGACAGGAAACTTAATTTGAATGCTGTATTCAAGAAGTCTGCTGAGAAGACGCGTACTCCCAATAGCTGGCACTGGACTTTCATACGATTTCTATGTCAGTGCAAACCCCCGGGAATGTCAACTCAACATATATCAGGACGAGCCTCTTCTAGAAGACCTAGAGAGGAGGGGACTAAAATGGCAATGCGGAGAAACTTAAATAATTAGCCCCCGAAACCAAAGAGCCTTTAGATGGATTAGCGCTCATTAACTGATACCCGATCTACGTGCGATTGAAGCCCTACGATAGTGAGCACCACACATCCCGACCGATAGGCACACATAATCCATGATATTTTATAGTCACAGATTTTTAAAATTTACAAATTTTAAATATCGTTTAAAAGCTTACTTTATCAGTTTAAGAAGATCTTTCACTAAGTCCATGATGGCCCAAATAAGGAAAATTATACATAGCGTTATTTTCGCAATCCAGGGTGTTTTGCACCCACTATATTTACACTTTTGGTGAAATCATGCTCTTACGCAATTTGTTTTAACTCATGCCATACCTTGTAAACTACCTCACAAGATATTCATTTTAGAGAGTTTCTCGTTTTAATCCACTCCTTCGCGGGTGCCTGATTCCATTTGCGTCCGAGATGGATTCGTCTCCAGAGATGGATAGATTTGGCATTTCAGACCAGGACTATGAGTATATGTTTGATCCTCTCAAGCGTCGAGGCTTCACCTCCAAAAAGCAGCAGATATATGGTGTCTTCGCCTCGGATTCTGACTCTGAAACTGAAGAAAGTGGCATGAGTTCCATGGCCTCTATACGCAAGCGTAAGGGTTCAAACTATTCTGGACCCATCACTTTTGTCAGTGGTGGAATTAAGGTATCTTATCATTAATGTATTCCTTTGGGGCATTTGGCTCAGGCGAAAGTCCCAAATGGGACATACCTATTCATCAAAGCTGTCTCATTATCCATTCCATACCGCTAAGAATTTCGTGTTGCTGCAGCCTTTCGTTTAGTTAGATAAGTAGAATCATGTGTGAATTGTAGTCTATGCCTGCTTTTTTACCTTAGGAGGGCTCAAAATCTGCGGAATCAGTGGTGAACGAAGAGGATCTTGATGTCGGAATCTCAGATGAGGAAGAGGACAAGCGGTTATTTTCTGTAGACACTCAAGTGAAGGAACATCCACCAAAGCAGAGTGCTTTTGTTAGGCATGCTCCATCTCGACCTCGTAAACCCATGCCTTCGTCTACTAACCAGGGTTTTGGGTCATGGGAACGGCATACCAAAGGCATTGGAATGAAATTGTTGCAGAAAATGGGCTTCAAGGCTGGTGAGGGACTTGGAAAAGCTGGACAGGGTATCGCCACTCCGGTGGAAGCAGTTAAGCGCGTTGGGAAAGGTGCGGTCGGTTCGATGGGTCCCGAGGTCGCTCCCGCTCCCCGTAGAGGAAACGAACCAGCTCCGTTACCTGAAGGGCGCCAGGGTGATAATAGTAAGCAGCATTAAGTTTTCCACTTCTTTCCACATACATGGGTTGACTTGTTTGCAATGATTTTTCTAGCTGATCTCCCCAGGTATAAGAAGAAATCGAGTGTAAACGGTGACTCTGGATCAGGAAAGACTTCCCACAAAGCGATTTATATGTCTGCCGACGAGCTTATTGCTAGTGTTAGTCCGGCCACACCTGCTGCGGCGATCAAACTACACGGTCCTTTTATTCAAAACAGGTACTTTTTGTGTAACATTGTCTTTTCGTCTTTTCTCTCTCATTAATTTTTTTAGCGAGTTGAGTAAGGTGAAGGTGATTGATATGACCCAGAGGGAGCAGCGTGTTTATGAGGGTTATGAAGCTGCTTTGTCCAGTTCCTCGCGGCTTGGTCGACGTGTTGATGAAGACGATGATGGTGTGGACGCAGAATCGCGTAAGCGCGAGCAACGTATTGAGGGCCGCTTCTTCGAGGTGCCTGTGCTCTGCCACAATATTGATCTTGTTATCAAGACAACTGAGGATGAGATCAGGCGTCTGGACCGTGGTGCGCGTTATGAGGAGGACAGGACTGTTGGGCTTCAACATGAAATCGATCGTCTCAGTCGGGTCTGTCTTCGCAAATATTGGCATTAATTCTTAACGTCCGTGGATTTTAGATCATTCTTTGTTGATCGCCTTGTGAAGCATTACGTACTCATTGGTCTACATGGTCGCTTACGTTTCAGAATAATTTTACCTCAGATATTGCGTTATATAAGGCCTGGAGGTAGCTTTTATTCGGGTATCTAAATCAAGACAGCGTGATTGTATAGATGATACGGACAGAGATCACCACTGTTCGTACGAAGGTTGGACAGGGTGTTCACCCATACAGTTTTGAGATGACCCTTTTTGGATCCTGAACAGATCCAGTCGCGCATAACATACCTTAAGCTATTCTTTAGCACCTCCTTATTTACTCATGCTCGGCGTTTGCTTCACAACCTAAAGTAGTTTGATGCTTTAAAACCTACAATTAGTGGCGGAATTAGGGTTGTTTGTCATGGCATTGCTCCTATACTATTACTTTCGGACCAGGATCTGTCGATTGTAAATGAATCAACAGCTTTCAATTTAACAATTGAGTGCATTTATTGTTTAATTACCTTCAATTTTACTTGCTTCAAAAGGTAGTGGAAAAGGCAGCGTTCGATGTAGACGAGTTGACGTCAGCCCTCGATCTTATTGGTCAGTTCGAGTGCGCCCTGAAAAGAGGCGAATGCGGTTCGAGTCCCGAGGCTTGTTCTTCGTGGCTCACACGGATTCGACGAGAGTGTGCTGATCTCTTCGAACTCCCTGCCCTCCTGGCTGCTGTGGCCCGGCCTCTACTAGATAGCATGCTGATCAATTGGAAACCTCTCGTTGTGAGTCTTTGATGTGCTTGTCTCTTCCAACGGTGGGAATGTCTACAAGTCTATTTAATGTGATTAGCTTCCAGTCCTTTAAATAAACTTTACTAGAAGGGATCCCACTACCATTATTATTAGTTGAGTTCATTTAAACCGCGTTGTGGTGGGACACGTGGTCTTCAGTTGTGTTTAGATCCATTTTTCTAGCCATTGCCCACAATTCAACCATTTTCACAAGGTCTTTGGTTCCGATCTTAAGCACACTGTCGAAGCGATTTGTGCCTCTAACATTGCTGCTAGTAGATGTGTGTTGATAGATTACCATAACATAGCGCTGTTTTCTCTACCGCAAAATTTATGAAACTTCAGCAAGAAGGCGTTTTTTCTTTGGACTCTAGTAAACTACTTATAATAAATCAAGATTCGTTTAATTAAAGTAGTTGGAAGTTTATTGAGCGACCATTGGACTAGATCTGAGATCTCATTGATCACACGACTTCACTTTTCTTGTGTAGATGTTCATGTGTGACAGTAAATTGCAAATGAACTATTTGGACTCGAATCAGCTATCTTGAATCTTGTTCTCTCTCCTTTCGCATTCCAAACATATTGGCACTTCTTCATGGTGCGGGCATTCATATGGAATTGGTGTCTAGATATTTATTATCTCTGCCTCTTCTTTCTGTCCACAAGAATCCAAGTTATGGCGTAGCTGTGTTGATGGAGTGGCGCAGCGCCCTGGACGATGCAAGTGCTTTTGAGATTCTCTTGCGAACGAGTTGGCTACCGCCAACACGACGCTGCGTCACCACGGAGTGGGATCCGCATGACTGTGAATGTCTACTCGCCGTATTTGAGGCCTGGCAATCCATACTGCCCGAGGATCTTCTTCAACATGACCTCCTCGATGGACTTGTGCTGCCTCGTCTTCGAGTACGTCAAGCACGTACCAATGCTTTGGGATATGAGTTTTAACCGATCAATATCGGTATCAAACTTGAACTGCCCTTCCATGAAATCTAGACCGCAGTAGAAGCGTGGAACCCCCTCACAGACACAGTGCCCATCCACACGTGGCTGCACCCTTGGCTGCCGTGGTTCGGTGGGGCCTCTCGACTTGCCACTGTGCACGAGGTGGTGTTGCACAAACTAGCCCTTTGCCTCACTAACTGGCATCCCTCCGACGCATCCGCCAGCTCAGTCCTTTTGCCTTGGCGTAATGTTATCCCCATGACCCAGATGACTGTCTTCCTAAGTCGAAATGTTGTGCCCAAGTTGGCTCTGGTCATGCAAACTTTCCAGGTGAGTTTTTTTTTATTACCTCTGTCTCCCTTATTAATGAGATCCCACTCACTAACTGTGTCTGTGGCTTATTTACATCAGCGTTACTTTCCAGAACTCATTATTGCATTTGCTTGGTTGCTCAATCTGTGCAAATGGCCTTTGTTCACTTGGCACTTTCATGTCCATTTTCCAGGAAAATTCTCTTATCTCAGCCTCCTCATCGGATGCATTGATGCCGGTGCAAATTTATGGATGGAGGTGCTAATTACTGGTAGTAATTCACACGTGTTCAATGAATAAGTGGAAACATCGACTTGCCTGCATTGGGACAAAATTTTTATAGCTCCCTAGGTTCATAATACTCCATTCCCCTTGCTGATACTGCTTCTTGTGTGCTAAATCGGTATTTTTAGGTTTGTTGGGTGTTCTGTGCCATGGTCATAGCAACAGTTTCACTTTTACAAACATTGGTCGGCCAAGGCCATTTGCATAAGTGGTACAAGGATTAATGAATGTGTCTTTCCTCCTCTTCTATCCTACATCGGGGTTCTTCAACTCACCTCCCTTGGTGAACGCTGTGAAAGGTTGTTTGCAAGCTTCTTGGTTAGTTTGCTGGATTTATACAACAGTGTTCGCTTCATCCAATAAAAGCTAGTCATAGTAGCTGTCAAAAATAGCGTCAACGCAATTCAAGAGACGTGAGAACGATTCGACTCGCAAGTATTGGATGAATTGCGATCTAGAACCTTTTGAGTTGCCATTGTGCTAAGGATCAAGAACCTGTCTTTATCGTTGAAAGACTTGCATTTTTAATCCTCTGTTCGTGCTACTTACTGCATTATCTTGTTGAAGAGTGAGTGTGGCCTGTTAATACTTGTCCAAAGTAGTAACTAATGGTTATCTGGTTGGAGAAAAAGAAGTGGCTTGCATCTGAAGGTGCGGAAGGACGCTTTGTGACCGCGTGCTGCAATAAACCTGCATTCATGTGGAACCAATAAAAGACCAGATGCCTTAACGAAAATTTGGGGCTCGACAGAATCTGGCCTTTACGACAAGTATGCAAAAATGGTTCCCATTTTAATGCAGCTGTATAAGCACTCACCAACCCAACTGATGCGGAGGCGTCAATTGTTGAAGCCTATGGGGGACCTTTATTTGTTGCCTTTCCCTACAGATAAATCCCGCTGATCAGAACATGGAACCCTGGAATTGGGTGATGCGGTGGCTAGAGATTATCGACCCCGCGATAATAGCTGACCTTCTTGAGCGCTTCTTCCTACCTCGCTGGCTTCACTGTCTCTCCGAGTGGCTTACTCAGGCCGTGGATTCGCGGAACCGTCACGCCCCCTCCACCGGGCAGATTTTCAGCGAAATCGGCGCCTGGTACTCAGGCTGGAAGAGTCAAATCCCATCTGAGTTAACGGACTATCCAAGTGTCAAGGATGCCCTTACGAAGGCTCTCAATTTCATGGAATGTGCAATGCGCGGAATAGCTCCGGTTCGTGTCGTCCATTGTTTTTACACCAAACGTTCTTGTGGTTCCTTTGAACACATTGCCTTCCCACTTTAGGATGCTTTGTCGTATGGGAGAGCACCGAATTCTCATATGGCTTCAGGTCTTCCCGCCAGCAACGTTGCGCGTCGACCACCTTTTGTGCCTATGGCACAACTCCCACCATCAAATTTGAGGGAGCAGGTGGAGCAGACAGCAGCTCAGAGAGGACTCCTCTTCCTTCCCATTGCAAATCGCTTCCATGAGGGCAAACAAGTGTACCGCCTAGAGGCACAGCAGGTCTTTTTTGACCGCAATGTTGCTTTCTGCTTCAACTCATATGATTCCGGTTGGCACCCTGTCTCCTTCAGCGAACTCATGGCAATGGCAGAGTAGAAAAGGTCGCTTTTGTCTACCTATGTACAGTCCCTTTGATCTGTAAAATTCATTCACCATGATTAATTCATCTTTCTCCCATTCTCTGCAGTCGCTAAAATACTGGTCACCTCTTCAATTAACTAATAGAGTGGGTACTAACCCTTACAAAGCAACTTGAGTATCAAACGCCAGAATCGACTGCCTACTCTCGTAATAACTGGTCACAGTAGGGATACAAAGAATAGGCTCGACTCTTGATCCGATGTTTAATCAATCTGGTGAGGCAAACAAACCGTCACTTCCTCCTATCACAGCTCGATCTTGCTGAGGATTGATCAAAATCGGTTTGTAATACTGCAGATGTGGTGAGTGAATTAACGAATGTAAGACCGTTATATCTGTTTGACTAACTAGCAAGTTATATTAGACGCAAGGGTCTCCCGTTTGACACCTGATAATTGCCATTAAAAGTGCGAGAATAGTGTTTAAATAACAGTTAGGAAAGCGACCAATACATGTTTCAGCCAAATACTTCTCAATTGATCATCTTGACTGAGAATGTGTGCCAGTAAGATAGAAGGGTCGAGTGAGAGTGTGCGATTGCTGGGTGATTTGTTTGAATTCACGCTCCTGAGACTCCTCCACTAAGCGGCGATTAACTTCGGTCAGTAGGTCAAGCACATGGAGGGTGTTGGCGTACTTGCGGAAGACATCAACGAGAATTTGGATGAACCAGCTTCCGGCTTTCTCTGAGCGCCATGACACGAAGCCTGGTAGAGTGGAGTAGGCGATTATGTAGTCACTCATGTAAGGCAGGCACTTCCACAGTGTCCTGTGTATTCCGGCGTCTACGCTTTCTAATGGAGACGGAATGAAGCTCGCATTATCGGGATTGAATGTGTATCCTCTATCTTTCTCCTCTCCTCTGCATGCTTGAAAAAGGATGAACTTGGGTTTGCCAGCTAAAGCTGGGAAGGATCTATTCGTAAAACCTTCAAGAATATCGTTAATAGCAAAGAGTTTTCCATCGGCCGTGTAGATATAGTCCTGCACCCCGTGGGACATTACAATGAGACCACCAGCGTCAACGCCATAATGACATGGACTTTTTATAAAAGTGCTGAGGCTAGACTCCAGAGTAGAAGCAGTGGGATCTAAAAGAATTTCAACACAGTAGCCGAGGTCAGTGAAGAGGGATTTTAGAGCAACGACATCTTCCGATGAGCCGATTCGGTTACTGAGACCCGACCCCACTTCAAATTTTGAAATGTTTATAAGGAGGATGTAACCGCGAGGAGTGGAATTAACGGGGTATGCTGCAATCGATTGTGTGGACTGCTGCGTAACGTGAGCGTCTGTCCTCGATGGAGGCGAGATTGGAGGCACTGGTCGAGGGCTTATGTCCAAATTTGTCATTTTTTCCACGAAAGATGATTGATTCGTTTCTAAAAGGGCGGACACGAAGGTATCGTAGGCGTCTGGACCACATCGAACTAGAACACTGAGGAGGGTTCGGACCTGATCGGCGATTACGGGACCAGAAGAAAGAATTTTCTCTGCTTGAGTTCGCGAAAGAATTTCATGGCAAAGGAGATAGTCGGTGATCTCATCAATGTCGCGCAGTCCCTTTACAAAATCAACCTGCATACGACCCAGTCGTTGTCGATGTTCTGCATTCATTTCTAGGATTCAAACGATAACAATCGCCCTGTTAGTCTCTTGATAATTATTGGTCAGATTTCATTGATATCGCAAGGTAATGAATCGAAAAACTCATACGTTAATAACGACAACAGCCTGTGCTGATAAATTTCAGGCAAACATCCAGGGAAATTCGTCTTGATTATTAGTTTCTGATAGAGCCGAAATACAAAGCCGCTGAGAACTGGCAAACCGACTAAGTTGAATAAATAGCCTTCGGTAAAAAAGAACTGACAATACTGCAAGACTGAGACGAATCGCTACTATTTAAGCTATAGAATTCAAGCCGCCTCGACGATCAATCACCGGAATTTGCGACAAATTGGCTACGCAAAGACCTTGAAGTCATCAGAAGCTCTTGAACTGCACACCAAGGTCTCTGGAGTGGGCACATATAACTAAATATGAAAAATGTTATTGAATCTACAAAAAATTGTGCTTTAGTTGTATGACTTTAGACAAGATTACATTTTCCATAGTCCTGTATAACTCTGAAATTCGAATATTTTGAGGCGAAGGAATAAAATTTCTGCTGCACTAAATAACGGATATAATGCTCAAATTTTTACCCATTACATAAGGGTAAAACTGAAAACATAAAATATGACTCGTATACATCATCACTTTAAGCGGTGATTCTACAAGCAGCTTTTATAGGTTGCAAAACAAAACAACGGTACCATAGCTGCGATTAAGGATTAAATTAACACGAAAACTTATGGGCAAGGATTTGTACTTATTTACGCTCCATGCGACTTCAGCTTCACAAATGTGGCCTAAGCATATATGCAGTCGTTGTAGCTCTTCGAGACTCCTGCACTAGACAGCTGGGCTGAAGTCATGTATTGGATTGGACACTGGCAGACGAATACCAAAACAAATGGCAGTTGTAAGGCAGTTACATGAACCAACTATTGCTCCCCTTGAGCTTTATTCTTTAATACTTTGTTTATGTGACCACATGACGCTTGGCAGTCACTTTAGGATTTGTCTAGCTCTTGTACACGTGAGCTGGCCTTCGGGTCATGCCCAGGCCCATTTGCTCTGTCGTCTTCGGAATAAATGTACCCATTTGCACTTACTGACTTCTTATACAGGCTAGGAAGTGTCGGGACGCTGCATATCCTACATCAATAATCACGCACGCATCAGATGCTCCATCCATCGGCGCCTATGCAACCGAAGTGAGCTATTTGACTCCATTCCCGATAATTCACCTCAGAAGCTTCAACTGAACACGGGGTCATCATATTCGCTCTTCGCAACTACATGTTTGAACAGCGACCACTTTTATCATAGCCTCATTTCGATCCTTTTTATCTGATTGTTAGCTTTTGGCTATTGTTCAGTGTTTCTATTTCCAAAAAGAAGTTCCAGAACGATTTAAGGTTTTCTTTTGGCAAGTGTGTCAAACGTTCTATACCCAGTGCTTGATTCGTTTGTGGCACTGTATCACCTGCTTGCCTACCTTCATGACGCTGAACGCCGGATTTCATGAAGGCATTGGCCGAGGAAGGTTTATTTGGAATCACATACGGAAAAGGAAAATTGAAAAGTAATAATTGACGGGATGCTAAGCCGATGCCACCCCGCAGATGTCTCTTCGAGCTTCTCATGCACAGAATTCGTGTCCGAATTAATCAACTGCCTTTATTCTTTAGAGGCGACTTAAACACATAAGTATACCTATTACGGACACCACAATATAACATCGCGGGATTGTAGGCCGTGAATTACTAATGCATGGTTGGCTTGAAAGTCCAAAAGGAAATCTTGCCCGTAATACTTTACTGATGCGGGTTACGTTAAGATTCGTCTGGCCCTTGTAAGCGTGGACTGACCTTCGGTCCAAGCCCAAGCTTAGTCCTTTTGTTCACCCTAGTATACATGAATTCAGCTCCACTTACTGCCTTCTTCTACTTGGCGGGAAGCCTCGAGACGCTATGATGCTGATATTGAATATCGAACCCGGCAGTTTTATCCTAGTATGTGCCGTTTTTTGTCTATAAATGGTGTGGATGGGGCGCATCTGCATAGGTGGGAGGAGAATCTCTAAAATTTTCACATAAATTGGATTTGAGAATGATGTCTGCTTTTGGCTTCACCTTGTTTCCATACTTCACGACAAGATATTAACAACTTAAGTGACACCACCATGAAACATCTGGAAAAGTTTTGTGCCGGAATTCCCCATACTATACCATTTATAGTGTAATTTATACTAGATTGTTTAAATGGACTTTTACAAGAGAGATGTGGGAATCAATTAGGAACGCGAATCACGGGCGCGAGGACTGAGAAGTATCTCTCCAGTTGATATCTACTATTCGGTCCATCTTCATCCCAATTCCCATTCTTCTTGTAACCACTGCTAAATAAATCATCTGCAACTAACCCTCTCTTGAAGTCCGAGGGTTAAGGGAAGGAGGGTAGGCAGACAGACATATAGGTGTTGGAAATGACACTATGGATCTCCTTATATACGGGACGTTTTCCTGCAACACATGTTCTGTACAGAGGTCTTTTGCCTAGTTCTGGAAGCATTTGGTGTCCAACATTGTTGTCTGTCAGTCCTGTAGCGTCCCGAGGCGTCTCCCCAAGTAAACGAAGGGACTATGCCTGAGCTAGACCCGAAGGCCAGCCCACGCTTACAAAAGCCAGACGAATCTTAACGTAGCCGACAGAGTCAGGTGGTCGCATTCACAAAGTGTTGCAAGACTAAAAATAACTTCAGATGCAGTTGAAGGTGCTGGGGAAACCTAGTACCGTTCTTCAGTTTCATGGTACTTGTTGGCTGGCGCGGCTGACTCGTACTTGCTTTCTTCCAGTGCTGATTAGATTGTAGTGACAGGTGCGGCAGTACGTCGCTTAAAAGAAGAGGGCAGTGCAGTACTTTGTTTATATGCATACTCGAGGTCTGAAGGTTGTTTAATGAGTTACGTGGTTCTTGTACACGTGGGCTGGCCTTCGGGTTAAGCTCCGTCTTAATCTTTCGGTCATCCATGCAACACATTTATCTTAGCTAATTTAATGCCCTTTCCAAAAAGCTATACTGTTAATAATTAGCAAGTAAAATAGAATTAATTTAAGACGATGGAGTAAAAGAACAACAACACAACGTAACAGCCGTAAACACCGTTAATTATGTGTTGATGCTAACATTAATGTCTTTCCTTTTGCTCAAATATACCTATGCTGTCCAATAATACCAATCACTGATGAAGAGTCTGCAGTTAAAAAAAAGTATTTGATGAAATCATACTGACCTTGCCATAATATCACTAAACAGGCGTGGCCGTCGTTCCGCCAGCCTAGCGCGTTTTCGCCATTTTACGTGCTCCTTTTGTCTTTTTCGGGTTGTTGGCAATGCATTCATCAATAGTTCCTCCAGGAAAAACTCTTCCAAGGGTATGCTATATTTGTCTCCCTTACGGTAGGCCGACACACGTATTCCAAAACCCCCGAAGCCCCCAGAGAAACCGCTAATGCCGTACATGCGATATAGCAGAAAAGTAATGCGTAGTTACTATCCCGAAGCCCTAGGTGTGGGAGAAGGTGAAAAATGAGAATCCACAATTGAAGTTATGGGAGGTTGGACGCATCATCGGGCAGATGTGGCGTGAGTTGCCTGATGAGGAAAAAAACATTTACATTGAAGAGTACGAGGCTGAAAAACAACGCTACAATGATACCCTTCGTCAGTACCACAGTTCTCCTGCCTACCAAGCGTGGGTTGTTGCCAAGGAAAGAGGTATTTCGCCTTTTTATGTCTTTTTTCTCATGTTCTTCTGTTATGTGAGCTCTATTTTTGCAGCTGAAAAAGTTATCGAGGAGGAAGAGCGTCGAAGTGCTGCAAGATCGCGTGAAAAGCATGAACCGCCTGTCGATTTGCGAGAGTCCTATATTTTGGAAGATAATGAAGAGGATCCAGACGAACAATTCACCGTGAAGCACGTGGCGGCGGCTCGTTTCCAACGCAACCATCGCCTCATGCACGAAATTCTCAACGACACGAAACTCCCCGATCCTGGCCAGTTAATTACTGAGACTCGTATACAAACTCTGCAAATGCAGGTCAAACAGTTGAAGAGCCACAAGAAGAATTTATGCAGTGAGATAGAAAACTGTGAGCTACGGCACCAAGCTAAGATGCACCGCATCCAAGACGAGTCGGCTGCATTTTACACCGAATATCGCAAATTAATGGCTCAAACTCCTCGCATCTCGGAATCTCAATTCGCTGAGATGATAGTCAAGGCGAAACAAGATTTGGATCGTGAAGAGGAGAAGAAGCGCGAGCGCCAGGCTGCGGAAAATGAAGCCCGTAAACAGCGTGCTCAGCAGAGAGAGGCCGAAATGGCAGAGGCCGAGAGGCGACGTCAAGCTCAGCTTCTCCAACAGCAGCAACAGCAACAAATGCAGGCTGCGTCTCAGGTTCCTCATGTGCCTAATGTATGGTTTGACACTTGTTTTTCTCGTTTTTTTGTAACATCTGGTGTTACTTCCTGTAGCAAGTGCCTCCAATGGAGGATCCAGCGTATTCACAGGCATCACAGCAAGTTCAATACAATCGGAAAACATATCCTTGCCCCCCTCCTCCAGGATCTCAAGCGTATCCACCTCCGCCCCATTACGCTCCTTCATCAACACAGCCACCACCATCCACGGAGGGAGTGATGGAATTGGAGAGGAATAACAGTGCACTTGTTGAAGAGTCAATAAAGAAGGATGCTCCTGCTTCTGAACCGGGCGTAGAAGGGGATGATCCCAGCTCCAAAATTACACAGGATCAACAACAGTCGGTGGTCCAAAGCTCATCAGCTGTAATGGGTGGTAGTTCGCAACCTCCCCCTCCCAATTACACAATGCCGTCGAATCAACAACCACCGCAACCATCATTACCCGACTATCAATACCACCAACAGCAGCAACAGCCTCAACAACAGTCAATTCCACAGCCGTCTCCTATCCAGGGTCGTTACCCTCCAAATTACTATCCTCAAAGTGGAAGACCTCCCTACACGGGTTATCCCGCCCCTCAGCCTCAACAGGCACCTCCGCCGCCTCCACCTAGCTACCCAGCCTCACAACCACAGCAGATGTACCCTTCGTGGCAAGGGCAGTACCAACAGCAGCAACAATCGGGATACCCAGGTGGAGGCATGGTACCACCGCAAAGATATCCTCCACCACCACATGGCTACCAGCGTCCACCTTACTCGGAGGTTCAGGCTCCGCCTGTGCCTCCACCCTACCAGCAACAACAACAAGCGCCAGTAATGCATCATCCGCATCAACAGAGCTATTGGCCGCAGCAACAACAGCAGCCTCCGTCGCAACAGTCCGACATGCCTCAACAGCCACCGCCTCCGGGACATTACCCGGTCTCCTCAGCCTCTGCTGACCCGCAGATGGGAATGATTCCTCAGAACCAGCCGCCACTACCTTCTCAACAGGCTGCGGCTCCTTCTGCTGGGTACTATCAGGGTAAGTATTCTAAGACTCCTATCACATTGACATGCGAGATTGGTGTCAATTTCTGTTTATTTTGAGGACTGAAATCTGTGCGTTTTTCTCAGTTGTTAGGTAACTACATATCACCGACTGGCAGCTATGTTTATTGCGTTAAGATTTTTGTCCATCTACACCAGTTAAACCAAACTAAACTAACTAAAACAAACTCCACTTCAATGTTCAGGTTTATTTTTCGGCACTTTGACACCCCATAACTGTTTTCAACCTGTCTACATTTGTTATCTACTCATGATGTTTAATGTAGTTTAATTATCACATTAGGCTACGGTGGAGCTCCACCGCCGGGCTATGGGGTTCCATCATCTCAAAGCGGAGTCTACTTTAACGGTCCCCCACCACAACAACAGCAACCGATGGCACCAGGTGGTGGCTATGGGCATCAGCCCTACATGCAGCCACAACAGCAGCATTGGCCACAGCAATATCCATCGGGTTATCCATCTTCACAGACACCGCAGAGACCCTCGATGGCTCCACAGTCTGGCCCACCTCCTCAACCTCAGCCCACTTCTCAGGCTTCCCACCCACAACAGCCGCAGCCGCAGCAACAGCAGCAACACTCAATGGGTGCTCCTGCGACTTCAGGGGGTGCTGGTGGCGGTGGCGTGGCATCGCCAGCGGACCCATCGACCATACGGAGACCCTCGCCCAACCCTCAGCATCCCGCTGCTACCCCAACTCCACCGGCTCCTGGTCAGTAATTAGCACCAACCTTCTGCATTTGTACTTCACTTGTCTGTTTGTCCGCGTGTTCGTCTTTTTTGTGTACCTCACTTGATTAATATGTGACTGTTTCACCCTTTTTGGTTCAATACTTAAACAAAATTTCCTGAAGGCGAGTTTCCCATGTTTGTTAGTATTGACTCCATGTTCTCCCATGAGGTTATTGACTGAGTGCTGCCTATTCGACTCGTCCGGTTTGCAGGCATCTGCATGGAGTATAGAAAGCACTATATTGATCAAGTGAACCCGCGAATGCGTAGAACCCATTAAAAACTAAGATTGTCTACAGTATCCCTCGATACTTTTGAAACCATGTACGTGCATGCCGTAGAACTTCTGCATATTTTAAATCCCTCTCCAAAGTTGCTTCAGTCTTGAATCCATTGGTTCTCAACCCTCCTCTTCCGTATCTCCAAACTCAGTACCTTTTCATAGTGGTAGCCGCTACTTCACGTAAAAATACGATAGCAGCGTTTAAAGGAAACAGTTTATCCTTCTTACCCTAGACAAATCACAAAAAATGCAGAACGGTTTAGGAGATTAGTGAGCAGTAGCAGGTTCGGAGGGGAGCCTTAGATACCTACAGTAACAATCACAGTCGGGCGCTGGACAGACCACATTTCCACCATCGCTACGCCTTCGCATACACCATGCGGACATGTGTTCCATGTGGCCGCCGTGATGACATAGAGGGCAAGCCACAATCACGCCACGAGCCGTGATATTGCACACCGCACAATGCAGCAGACCACCACCCTCATTGGAGGTCGTTTTGGCGGCCGGAGTGTAAGTGAAGCCTGCAAGGCCCGTGGGACCAACCACCTCCGTCTGGACGGCCGGAAGACTTAGCAGGTGGGTTAGTACGGGTGGCATGTGTTCGGCTCGCCATTCACCAGGGCAGAGAAGAACTTGGTTCTGACGGTCCAGGGGTTCAGCCAACCCGAGATGATAAAAATTGGGACGTGAACGGGCGTGGAGCCAAGTTAAGACTTTATGCCACTGGGCGGAGAAGTTAGCACGAGGCATTATGAGATCCCACGCAGAGAGAAGGTTAATGTAGACGTTGAGAAAGTGAGTATACTGAAGGATGTGTTTGAACGACAGCAGCCTCAAGAAAGAAAGAAGTAAGACTATCAGTACAATCACCACTAGATGGATTGACACCTCAATCATTGAGCTCACCACACGTGGGAAGTGTAGGGGGCGTCGTGTTGAGGCCTTTCGCCAGTAACTCCACCGATGTCCATCAACACTTGCTCACGGAAGTGGTGCTGAAGTAGAGCAATGTTGGCGATCTCTTCAGAGCTTTGACGGCTTCGAGAGGGCTCTGATCCGGCGACATCGGCTGTCGCGGAAATCTTGTAGCATGGAGTAGCACTAGGAGAGGGCTGAGATGACTCCGAGGGGTCAGGGGTCATGCTCTCGGCTGAAGTTGAAGGGTTGACTGAGTAACTGCTTGACCGTGTCCTCGTGTACGAGGGGACACTGGTTCCGCTCTCAGATGTGGACTGATCAGTGGCACCTTTACCACCTAGAAGTAGTAGGACAATTAAGCATTAGTTGACGCTTCTATGCATTAGAGTGGCGTGAAGTCATCAAAGTGAAATATACATCTGGAAGTTGGCGCTTGGCGTGAGATTCGCGTGGGTGTGGAGTCTTCAGTGGTGAGTTTTGAGGATCCCCTTTCCGCGAATGGAGCAACAGTTCGTGACTGCTGAAATGTGAAAACATGAAATCACGTGAAATAATTTGTGGTTTTCTAGTTTTCTCTGGAATAAATTGTGAAATGCACAGTTGTTTACACGTCGTTGCATTGCAGGGTGCTGTTTTTCCCCATTATAAAACGTCAATTGAGTGTCGTGCAACGCAAGCCTGTCGGCGGGAGGAAATAATGCCGAATGTGTCACGAACCAGAAAGTAACTTTCGTTAGATCTGTCGCAAAGCGCCTCCAAAACACGTAGTGAAATAGTGGTGCAGAAGCCCGTCCGTTCATAATAAAGGATGAGTAAGATCGCTCGAGACATCTACATCAGCCAAGGTGAGAAACAGCATTTTCTGGACACTCACTGACGCATAAAACAAGTCCCAAAGACAATCAACTCGTTTATTTTCGTGCCTCTCAAAGCCACACGATCTGGCTGCACTTTCTGACCCAATGGCGTCAAGAGAATGAACATTACTAGTGGTGATCCTTCATCAATTCACTACTCATCAACTCTCATTGATCGACTTCCAACGCAGTTTCTCACTAATAGATTTGCTGCTGAAAGCCAAGCACCATCCACGATTGCGATCCGTCTACTCGATACGTCAGGCCTTAAGCGGAAAGATGATAGAACTGGTCGAACAGTCGGAGGAAAGCCTTGTCCTTGCAAGAGTACATAACCTATGAATGTCTGAGAGCAGCACCGTCCCCCGTGATGGCCATTATCAACCGCATACGAAGTGGAACTTATGTCAGGGAAATGAAAGCAGGATAGAACTGCACCAAAGCGTTTCATTCAGTAATTTCAGTAACAATAGGTATACAAAGTCCTCGTCTGGAAAGAGAACCGACAGCATTTGGAAAGCTTCGAGGCCAGATATTAAGGCAAGGAGGAGCTGACAAAGGCTGGAAATGAGCGTCAAGTGAGGAAATCGCTATACAGCCAAGAGAGGTTGCCTCAGTACCTCATTACTTATTTCTATGCACAGAGAAGCACCATTTGTGAAGTTACGACTTTTCCAAACATGTTCCAGAAAAGGGTCAAGCTTCCCTTCAAGAAGTAAGTGGCACTTTTGATTACATTAACTTCGGTGAGCATTAATCAACCAGTAGCTTCGAGGCAATGTCAAGTTTGAAGAATTCTTATCGGCGAAAGTCAGAACAGTTGCAACTTATTGACCAGCTACGATCCGTAGGTAGGAGGTCACTTCAAGTAGCAACATCCCCTTGCCTCACCTTGAGGAGCCGTCTTGTTATACGTCCCTCCCTTCCCCCTCTCCCCAGTCTAGACGGACGAAAATGGTAGATGCTTTTAACTCCACAATTAATCGTCTTTGGGGGTACTGCAATGTAGCGACTGGTTGTTAGAACAACTTTACACCACCTGAGCCGAACAAACCGGCTGCAGTACAATAAAACTGCATGTTGATCGGGCAAATGTGGTCGGCAACAGTTCAACCTAAGCACCATTAACAGTTGGCTAATACGGTCTACAGTGCTAATTCAACATGTTGTGTTAGAATGAAGCCATTCCTCAATTTCAAAGTGTTGAACCTCGCACGAACAGGTAATTCGGACGAATTCGATGTGGTTAAACTAGCTGGAAAGAGAGAGTCACAGAAATGTAGTAGGTCTCCACAGGGACCCAAGAAGTGCCTCGAAACACTGTGAAGATATGAACGTTTTCACAAGAAAAGACTACAAAAAAGTGTCACATCTAAGAAGAAATACTTGTATTTCTAATGAGAGGCAATTGATGAGAATTGGAGACAATTTAAGGAATGCGTGAGTGTTTGAAAGTATTGCATCCAAAGTCGTCTGACTGCAAGATACAAGTATGACTTCACAACAAGACTTGCATACAGTTAGCAGCAAAGTGTTCAAGGAAAAGTGCATTTCTTCCAGCGACGGTATGACAACCCAAATCAACTCTCCTAGCCAATCCACTTTCTACTCAAAGAGCAAAACGTGACTGCTCTTAAACTGAGAACCACCCTCATCTACTCTTGTCCCTCTGACCTCAACCATTTCATCTGTGACACCAGCCAGTGCAATCAATTGTTACAGACTAACGACGCTGCCATATCAGGAAAAAAGCCTAGTATTGAAACCGAAAAAAAAAAAGATTGGTCAAAACATCGACTACAGAGAGTTTACCGTCTACAGGTGTGATTTCAATCGGAATGAAAAACGATTGACTTTCCCGAATAAAAGAGCGTGTTGTCTGAATGCTTTGAAGTTGATATTCATATGAGCTATTGATTTCAACATAAAAGAAAGTATTTTGAGCATAGATGCAAACTGATTCGTGAGTGAAAAAAAAAAAAACATTTCTCCAGTGCAGTTGACGCCCTAAAAGGCTGTAGAATGACCTGCCACATTAATAAGAAGCATACTTCCATAGCAGTGACTACTTCCCGGTGAAAGTGGTGGTGAAGGAGAGTGCATAAAAAGTTGCTAAGAGAAGCATGAAAATATGTCAACCAAATCGCACCTCGTCTGTTCTCTCCACAGGCATCAAGAGGTGTGATTCATGAGCCTCCAGAAGAGCTAAATTAGGCACCACTACAGTTGACTTCGATCGTCGCGCTATCTCCATCGCGGCAGTAGACCGTGGTATCTGTTGAAATGCACGCCGAATGGGGCTTTTCTGTGATTCAGGAGGGTAAGGGTGGAAGGGGCCGAAGAGGGCTCGATGTGGTTGCCTCAAGGCCATAGCAGCAGCTTTCAGTGGCGCGGTGAGGAGAAGGGCCGGTGGACTTGATTGAGCGTCAATCGCAGCCATCACAAAACCCATCATTGTCAGGCTCTGAACGTCTCCGAGGGAGAGAAAGTGAGAGAGCCTAGAAGAACCGACAACTTTAAGAACTTCCACATTAAAACATCTCTTCACGTTGTATCACTCATGTGACGCCCCAGGTCCCTTATCTGAGACCGCACAAGATATATGTGTGACATGATGAATTTAAAAATGAATTGAGTTGAGAAGTAGGACCAGGATTAAAAAGTTAAGGTCTAATATGACCACTACAAGCCTGGATTATGAGTATCATTTCTCCTTGGAAAATCTGGTGACGAACACACACATAAAAGAAGCACCAGAGGTTCGGTTTAACCTTTATGACCACTCTCCCGGTAATGGGGTATGAAATTTCACGAGCAAGCCAACTTCAACAAGCCACACGATTTGCCTGTCAAGCTTCAAAAGGAAGAGGTTAACGACTCTGAAATTAACTCACCAGGTATTAAAAAAGGAACGACCAATAGATTGACTAGCGTAGGGCGGAACGATGGCAGGGAACGGAGGCTGTCTCAACTTGGCACCAGCCAGTGACGCCACGAAACTCCAAAACTGAGTAAATTAAACAAATAAGCTAGTCACAGGCGAATTTGGCAGAAATTGGAAAAGAGAGAGAAGGAGAATTCTTGCGTAGATTAGAGAATGAAGGAAATGTAAGATAGATAAATGCAAATGAATATGCTTTAATGAATACTCCCGACAAGATGATGACTTTGGGCCTACTTTCAGATGTGTGTGTGGGTGTGCACTCACATAGATTTGTGACATTCAACCAACCTGAATCAAATCCGCCCGACCGGTTGTGCGAGCAACCTTCAGGTTTCGTGAGCACATGCGCTTCGGATCCGCTATGTCAAGCCTGGAGTAATGAGAAAGAAGGGAGAGTGAACCTGACGCATTGATTCTACCAAACAAAATCCAGCCAGATCATGATTAACTACCGAATGCAGTCCTCTGACTTCCACGACATTTGATATACGCGGTGGAAGCCCGAACTTATTTTCACGAATAACCGGAGAAGGTGGTTGGTTTATCTGTAGCACTCTAAGCCTCCTTTTAACACACGGATGGACTGAGGCGATACTGTTACAGGCCTTAGGCCTTTAGATTTGGTGTACGAAAAATGAGCACTCAAATGAACAAATGCGGGGAATTAAAACGCGGTAGAAGTAATGCCCTCATTTACAAACGTCTGCACGACACGAAGGCAGTAAAAGAACCTAATGGAAAGTCTAGACGGGTGGAATTGCGCAACAAGCATAAAACTGAAACAATTCGATTATTTAAAGGCAAAAAAGCCCAGTTTTCAGGTGCTAGTAATCCTAACGACTCGTTAATCGTTACCTAGACCAAAATAAAGCCTCTAGCTGAAGTGACTTACGAGTAGTGATTGGCAAGGTAACGTGACATCGGAATCAACGATGAAAGGTCGGTGATAATTGCTCGAGGAGAACCTACGCCAAGCACAATAAAAACAAGAGCTTATCGTCAATCAAGTGGCATTTGAGAGGTACGATACTCTCTACCGCGATCTATAAGTGCTTCGGTGAGAGAAAAGAGCTCTGAGTCGACTAGGGGATGAGAATGGGATTAGTGTGAAAAATGTTATAATTCCTATCGAATGAGTATGATTATTGCACCAAGTTGCCGAGACCGACCGTTAGAACGAGTCCTATCAAACGATGTCTTTCTAACAGAGGATGAAAGCTGGAACGAAGTGATACGAGTGGCATAGGACGCCCTGCGCATCCGCACTCGGTGATTCGCTATCACGGGCTGTTCAATCCCCACAACGACCGCCCTTCGAGCTGAAGAAGTTGGTGGCTAAAGCAAAAAAAGGTGGAGATTTAGAAACCCCATCGTAGCAAATGCGATTCGCCAAACGCTCAGCACGAATAGCTCACCCTCCCAGACTCGGTAGAGGTTTTCCCCGAATAGTGACGTCTTCGATCAACATTTTTAGGCGATCCAAATGTTGTCGAGGGGGTGTTGAAGATGCCTTGCACAGTCTCTCCGACACCACCACAGATGGCCTCCGCACTCAATGATCTTTTTACTTGACTACGAATACCGCCCGCTCCCTGATCTGCAGCTTGTGATAGCCTGAACTGTTGCCTGGAAAATAAACCGTCCGAGGCTTTGCAAAAGAGGTGTTCCTTACCCTCTGTGAGCTGGAGGTAATCATGGAAGGAACGAGGTGTACGAGTAGATTCTATAGATAATGGACTAGCGGCTTGAACAATTTCTACAAGACGCTGATGCAGACCAAAGGTCACCATTAGACCCGAGGGGGAGATATGAACCCCAGAGGTGCGCGGAAAGGGAACAAACACGTCCTGAGAAGGAGGTTGTGAGGCAGCATCAGCTTCTGAACTCGTGTTGGTAGTCTTGAAATCAGGATGCTCTTGAACGAAACTGACATAGGGATCGGATGACGCCAAAGTGCCCTCATTATCCCCTACCTTCTGCCAAAGAGAGTATACAAAAAAGATTAGAAAGAGAGGTAGCAGATGTGATTAACTGTGGATGGCCAGTCACAACTTACAGAATCCTCGTCAGAGGAGAACGATAAACTTGTGGAGTTGAGGTGCTTGAATGCTTTCCGAATGCACGGCTCCAGACACCCGCGAGAAGCAGATACAGTCTTGTCGGCTGTACGCTGAAGATCCTGCAAGAGAGGTGGGAAGGAGATAATGCTTGCAATAAAGCACGATTTTCGCATTTAAAATAACTGTAATGCCACCGGCGAAGTAAGACGATTTGTCACTCGACTTCAGACGGACTCACAAAGCATTCAAATTTCTGTGCCAGAATTTAAATGAAGTTAGAAAAACTTCCATTTTCTCTTATTCCAACACGACAGTGCGTTGACACTGCGCAATGCGTAGCGACTGAACTCACACAGTGACTTTTTAAGTGCACATAATTTCTTTCACAACCACAATTTCTGTCTGCAAATTATGCTTGTAGTTTGAGTTGAACCGCAGGCATTGAACTAGATGTAGAGCGCTGAGATACGCCCTGAATCACAACACCACATCAAAGTAGGTCACCTGATTATTGCACGAAAGGCAGCAAACAAGAGTGACGAGTGAAGTGAAGGATTGTAGTAAAATGCTTGTCAAATAATAACTTTGCGGAGTTTAATCAGCTCAAAGGTTTACAACAAAGCTGGAATTGTGTCATTTTAAGATAAATAACGCAATTATAGCGATCAACTACCATCAGGAAAAAGGAGTCAAGAAAGAGGGTGAACAATACGAGAACATTGCGTTCCCCTGTGCATGGGTGAACGGTCCAAAGTGGTCGGATTGATCTTCCCGTTTGACCACTTAAAAATCAGGCCCTACCTACAGGATGATTCAAATCGCACCTCAAGTAAAAAACTTAACAAACGTACCTTAAGTATACGCATGAGTGTTGATTCACGCACAAGTGGGTCAGAGGCGATGAAAGAGAAAGTGGGAGGACAGTTGGGCGCAGGATAGGCTAGAGGAAATCGAGCCAGAAGAGTTACGCTGCCAGAACTGGGGAGGGGTTCAAGAAGCCTTCCAGCCCTCACCGTTGCCACTGGTGACGGTCGGGCTGAATCGTTGGTAGTAGTAGTAGTAGTGGACTGGAAGAAGGCGTCTAGATCGGTCAGTGGAAGGGAGTCAGAACGACTGCGTGACTCATTCGTTTCATTGCCTGCATCGAATCCGCACACTGTACGATGGTGATAGTGATTACGACGGCAGTAATAGAGCGTCAGTCGAACTGTGCAGTCAGATTCATTGCGAACGACATCTCCGATTCGGTACTAACAGGAGGAGCAACTGCCAAATGAAGCCACCGCCGCCTACTTCCTCGAGAGGAATGCTGCCAGCTTACCTGACCAATGGAAGAGCTAAGAAGAGAGATTTCTTGCGTGACAAACTGGAAGGCAAAAGGGTCAGTTTTTGTGGATTGGGAAACTAAACAAAGAACAAAAAAGAGTTGTTAATGAGTCACTAAAGACTTAGAATGCTGCGAAGGCATACAACCAACCTGTCTGTTCAGAGGAGGTTTGCCTGTTGGGGCCATCAATACCATCTACAGGCTAAAATATTACAATGAAGATGAAAAGGCATAGTAAATAAAGTACAAGAAAAAAGCAGACATTTATACAGAGAGAGCGGCTTTGGCAACCTGTACAGCAGGTTCAGAGGATGCTGAACGTGGAGGACTGCGGTAATTTGAGGGCTTCACTCCATCAACATGCAAGAAAGCAGCCGGTAGATTGTGAATTCTCAAATTATGATCCCTGGACCAGGAGACAAGGTTGGCCAGTTGAACTGAAGAAGATGAAGGCGTTATAGCAATACGAGTATTAAGTAAAATCCAAAATATTGCAACAATTCATGTAGGTCTTCTCTTGCAGCCAAAACTAGTAAGGGCTAGAAAACATATTATAAATGTTTGAATTATTAATGCAGAGGATTACATGAGGTAAATTCCATGAGTGGGTTGCAGCTTAGACAAAAAACAGGTGAATCCAACCCAAACTTCGGGGTGCAATTTTTTGGCGTTAGTAAGTTTGAAAGGACTAAGGTGGACAATTAAAGCTGCATGGTAAAGTCTTCGAAAATAGTATAAATTTTGAAAACTTCACACAGGAAGCCAGAGCCCAGTGACAGTTGACAATTTAGAAGTCGTTGTGTTGGAAGTCAGTAGCATTTACTGCCAGGAGGCATTTGAAGAACCACTATCGAAAAACGCACTCATATCGCGCAGATTTTCCTTATTCTCCAAATCGAAAGTGGTCTCATTGAAGGCGGTAACAAGGGGAAGATCGGGCCTACACCATCCGAAGCCGAGGACACGGCTTTCCTCACTGATTATGCTCTGGCCTGATGGGTAGCCTACGCCCGCACTCTTGTCGTCTTCGTCGATGGCGGGGACAAGGCGCATAGGGGAGAGAGTATCAGACCTCCAGAGTACCAAACCCGAGATAGTCCAATGTGTCCGTTGTGGCACGCTGACAATCCCGGCCCCTTTAGGCTGAAATCAGAACAAAAAGGGAAGTTGTTATCGTCAGAGTGGCGCCTGATGCTTTGGTCCGAATCAATCAAAGCACACTACAACTGTTTATAGAAAAAAACAAACAAACAAACAGTTCAGTGATACGACAAATAAAGCAGGTAAACCAAGAATCCCAATTTCTCATTCCTAAAAGGGTTCACATTAAAAGAATGGCAATTGGTCCACACGTCGCTAGCTTTCCCGGAATGACAGTAGAAGGAAACGCATGAAACTTTGAACATGATACTCCTGCCTGTCTAACGGTCTCAAACACCATTCATTATGAGCGCATTCAGCCCCTCAGTGGTACGTTAGTTCTAATACTCGATTCGTTGGTTTAGAGCGCAGAAGTCACCACTTTTAACGTCGGATCTGGGTATAGACTATGATACGAAGTACAGAGATCTCTCTCCCTCTTTGACAGGCATGAGTTCCGAAAACCCTTTTGATACGAGTGCGATTTTCAGAATCACGTACCAAGGAACCTACTAAGACCTCCAAAAGACTGACTTGAAGTTCAGTACAATATCACTCATGGCAAAGTGAATCAGGTTAGCGCAAGAAGAGCCAATCGTGGACAAATGTCAAGATGAGTTTACTGCTAGTAGTAAAGAACTACGTCAAAATTATAAAAGCAGTTTTCACATAGTGCTTCCTAATGTCTGCTGTACAAGAAGGAGAACTATGGTACCCAAGACGCCTGGTGACTGCAGAAATTCTATAAGATTGTAATTCAATGAAATCATGATATATCGTACCGTGTAGCGTAGTTGGAACATCGGAACCTTTTTGTAGTTGCCAACAAGCAAGGCGTTGTCAAAGTCGTCGAGATGCCATATACGTAGACTTCCGTCCTTGGTGGCAAGAACAAACTCCCCAGTACGGACGGGAGACCAGGCCATTGAAAGAACCTGCGATGACTGCATTGATAGGTGGCGCTCGGGTGTGTTAGACTGCCATAGAGAGACAACGGAATGAGGGGGTTAAGTATGAAGAAGATAAGTGTTTTAAAAATGGATGTGGTCGCAGTCACAAATGGAATACAAAAAGTATTCTGAATACACCATAAGAAGGTCAACAAAGAGCCGGAATGGTGCGAGTAAATCACAGCCAGATGATTGCCGAGCATGGAAACGAACCATTTAATAACATCACTGAACTGTAAGACATTATTCCGACTCAACAACCAAAGAAAAATTAATTAGGGAACCAAAAGGCCTTTCAATATTGATTTTCTGCCAATAAGAGCTGACGATAACACCCTAGAGATCCAACGGTAACCACAAGGTCTCCAAATTTGAGTTATTCCAGTTAATGGATGTCAATTGTAGTTAAGCGGGCAAAATTACATAGGGATAGGTTGTAATTAACTAAGGAATAATGGTCAAGACAATGGAGAGAAGTCAACTCTCTCCGTCGACGACATTCTCGCATGCTACATCACTGGAGTAAAAGCATTCTTGCTACTAGATCACTTCCTGGAAGGAAATGGGTTCAGCAGACAACAGATTAACGAGTTCATGATACTTCAATAATCTGATTTACTCACTTCTACTGACAGAACCGTCATAAGCAGCCGATGTCACTTCAAAACAAACATGAAGGTGATTCTAAATCTCCAAGGTTAAAAAGAAACATACTCGAAGGTCCCAAAATTGGACCATGAAGTTGCCCCCGCTGGCAAAATTGTACTCGCGGAATGGATCCCAACAGAGCAGACTTGTTGGAGCTGAAAGATCGGTAAAATCCACCTCAACAGCAGACAGAAGATGGGTGAAACAGGAATGAGGATGACAGGAAATGGGGGCGTACAGAACAATTCAATATTTCTCACTAATTTGACAGGATCCCTCAGATCCCAAACGGTGATTGAACGAAACTGTTCATTGGAGGCTGTGGCCAAAATATTGGGCTGCATAGGACACCAATCCACAGCATTGATTCGACGAATGAAACCTTGAAGAGGTGTCACAAGAGTCAACCTGCCCTCATTGGGCGACCAGGCGTACACTTCACACACATTTTGCCGCTGAAATCAGATTCCCACAGAATAAGCATCAGAGTTACATGTCACAGATCTGATGAAAGGAAGGTGTAAAAAGAGTTTAACAAATGCCAAGATGAATGAAGGCCTACAAGTGGCATATAGGAATCCTCTCGAATAGTTGTTTTATGCATTGTACTAAGCACCTTCGACCTGTCAATCTTAAAGATTGGCAGTAAGCAAGCGTTATTTGATACGTCAATCATTGTATTAGCGCACGTAAGTGGGTAGGAAAAAACTTACAACCAGAGCAAACTGTGATCCGTCGTTCGGATGGCACAGTAGAATTGATGGTTCGAGTGCATCAATCTTCTCGAAACATACCTTATCGTGAGGAGACTCAAGATCAATGACTGCTAACTCCTTAGAGCTAAAAACGAGAAGCATGCCGGGTACGATCTAGACGTATCAACATTAATCCCCAAGCATGGTCTAAATTGAAACAAAAAAACAACCAACCTGGCTAGAAAAGCAAAACGCCCAGTGCAGTCGACATCAACCACAGAAGCCTAATGTGGAAGAGATGTGCAAACGCCCCGTAAGTGAATGAAAGGATGGAAAGAAGATGCTAGAATTGGAACACAAAACGCACCTGCAAGTCGGGATGAGAAAATTCCCCAATTACACGACTCCCCTACAAAAAAATAAAGTAGAACTTCAACGGCCGAACCTAATTTTCTTCCTAACGGTCAAGAAACTTCCAAAAATAAACTCCTATGGGCGTGACACCCCAGAAGCCTAGTCTCAACCCATGGTAGCGTTTAATGAGGAGTCAGCACAGGAGACGTCCCATCAATTGTCCAATTGACACATCCGCAACATTCAAAGCAGGGCAACCAAGTGAGAATTTGAGTCCTAGTTAACGGCATCATCGTTTCGTTAAAAATTCCATCATCTGGACCATACGACTTGCAGCAATTCATATCATCAGCTATAGTCCATGTAGTGGAATGCGACGAATGGCTGAACATCACAGATGGTGTCGAAGGATTATCCGCAAGCAGGCAATGGAAAAGTAGCAAATGGCACGCTTACATAGCAATTTTATTGATCCAAATAACTATTCCCTCAATATAGCGAACAGACACATACATATGGAGATGGGTAGAGCTGAGTGAAGAAGGCACGAACCCAGAGACAACTGTACACATAGATGTGGTAGGAACGGGGAGATCTGAGAGAGGTGAACCGCCTACATTACGTTTATATACACAGAAAGAGAAGGGAGTGGGGTTGTGCCTAGGTGGATGCACTGGCCGCGGACATCTCCAGTGCCACAGCTCCACAACTGTCGGTCATGGGGGCGGTAGACTCCGTATTCATGGGAGAGGTTAGGTCAGAAGAAGAATTTACTTCCACGGAAGCAGTGGTGGATGGCGTAGCAATCTTCCGACGCTTGTAGGATCGTGGAGCGCTTGTGACACGGTAGAGAGAGGCGCGGGCTATTCGACTAGCTTGTCGGCTGCGAGACGCCACAGCAGAGGAACCAGAACTGCTGCGCAGAGATCGAGACGAATTATTAGTAGAAGAATCACTTCGCAGACGACGTTTGCGTCGCTTCCTTCTACCAGACACAGACATTGCGGTAATCAAATTCTCCACCGGAGCTTCAGTCGCCTCCGATTTCAATGTAGTTAAGGGAGGGATGAAACTGGTGGCATCAAGATCCCCTTCATCGAGACGGGGTTCCTTGGCGTCCAAATGACATTTTGCTTTCCCTCCTCCTTCCTCTTCCACCTCATTGGATATGGCGGTTGAATCATTCAGGGGAGTTGAGGTGGGATGGTCACCATTACTAAGACATGCGGAAGATGGCGACGTTGGGAGATGGTTAGTGATCGGATGTTCAGAAAAGGAAGTGTTTTCTAATTTTGTTGCACCAGTTCCTAATGGAATGCTTGTTGAGCCCTTAGAAGAAGGAAATAAAAAATACCATCTCGCCAACCGTAAAAGATGTATGCCAGCATTTTTAATTCAGTATCAAACCAGAATTGAGGCAGAAGACAATTTCGACGAATAACGACAGTCCCTCCAGCTTTAATTTCCACATAAGCATTCAGGTGCGACCCAGAAAACAAAGTTAATTTAATGGTTACCAAACCCGGTGATTGTATTTTTAACGTTAAGCCCAGTGTGATTATCAGTCACGGACTTTTCCTCGCAAAATCCAATACGATTTTAAGGAAGTGAACACACCAATAGTGCAAGGAATATTGTTAAAAAGGGGAAAGTAATAATTCAAACATGAAAAGTATTCTATTTCAGTAGGTAACTAAAGCTGGACTGAACGACCATCAATCGCGAAATGACTTAGACCAGCCTGTATTTCAGAAACTGCCAGGACTATACAAATAATATAGCTAAGATCTAAATGGTGAGGCATCAAAGGCAAAACTTCAACCCCGTGAAGGGTAAATACCAACGTACTACAAGCGATGCGGGAGTGGAAAGAGCGGGACTGTTCGACAATGAAGACACTTGTTTGCTACCACCTGGCGTCGTAGCAGGAGAGGATGCTTTAGGATAATACTCCGTGATAACCACGCTAAATCCATTAGCGAAGACTTCAAAATGCTGCGGACATGAGCGGTCGACATTACGAAGAGATCTGTGGTTGTAAAGCAAGAAGATTATTGGAAAATCTGTTATACGACACGTGGACTTCAGCATGAAACATCGCCATTCTCAAAAGATTCCCTTACCCAGGACGTAATAATGCGACATGTTTTAGAGACGAAGTAGGGGCTGGCGCACTACTGCTATTATTCAAATGTCGATGGTACTTCCGACGGTGAGGTGTATTAGATTCCGTGCCACCAGTTGTAGTGCCACTTTCTTCTTGACGCTCCTTAATAATCGCCCGAGCGATGAGATTTTGTTCCTCAACAATTTGCCTATTCAGCTTTGGTTTGCGGGTCGAAGTACCTTTGCGTGTTTGACACATTTCGCACCGAAACGCTTCAGCAGAATTCTTGTAAGTACACACCGAGCAATCCCAAAATTCATCCTCTCCGCCGGTCAAAAGTGTAGAGGGCAAGCGATGCTTTCTTTTTCTGCAGGTGTATAGGAACAAACAATTATCATGGGCCAGCATTAGGAAGTGAGAAGCCCAGTGCAAAATGGCTACAAGGCCGATCACAAGATTAAAGAAAAGATTTAGGTTCTGAAATCCTTGAAATTAGAATACAATATACAGTGAAAGAATATAAAACCACATAACCTTTCGCCAGAACAAATGTTAGCAACAGCCAAACCAAAAGACAATGTAAAAAGCATGCAAATTAAAATAAACTACAAGAGAAAGGAAGGAAGCATTGGACAGATGTCAAATAATGAAGTGGAAATGTGGAACTATGCACGTCTTTTAAACTGCATTCACCCGCAATTTAAGCAGTGTCGGCTGCCAAAAGTAAGATAAAGTCTCGGCTACCAAGTTTCATACATAAGGGACGAAAAGGGTTGCCTTAAAACACTCCAGTGTCGATGAAAAGAGATGAGGCGTTGCATGAGGAAGTTTAAATGCCAAGCTTCTCGACTTCAAGTTCTTGACAGCCCCACAAAAAAAGAACAGATAAACCGTGAAAACCAAAAGACAGGCATTGACCAATGTAACCGGTTAAACAATTGACAGCCAAAGAGAGGCAGACTAGTTTTAAATAGGAGATACCAACCTCAAAAAACAGTTTATTCGTAAACAAAAGTCATTGCAAGAGAAAAAAGGGCAGGAAAAAATTAACCACCTCAACGACTCAGCGGGACGCGACTCCATGCCTAGAGCAAGAGCATAACGTTTGTTCTACAAAAGAGCCAATCCAAATCACCCGCTGCCTTTATTTACTAATACAAACAAAATCTATTATGTTAGTAAATTGTTTACTTGCAAAATTTAAAGCAACTAAAAATAAATGTGTAGTTTTTTACATTTAAAAAATAGTTAATGGCAAATTTTTACGAACAAGAGGGTTTTAGATAGTAGCTAAAAACAAAGCTGTTGTGACCGTTTCTGCTCTTAATGTGATTCTTTAGCTAAGTAAATGAGCATAGGCAAGACTTCTTATATAATATACGTCCCATATACCCCATCACGAGAATTTCTCGCCTTGGTGACAACACGGGCTGTATCCTCTTGTATATGCTCCATACAATCACAACTTATTGCAATATATTAGGCAATTTGATTGCTTATTTCTGCAAAATATTATTTGTTCATTCAGCGCGTACTTTGACATATTATGCTTGTTTCGTGACCTTGCCAAATAGGTCGTAGTAGCGTCCCCGACATGTTTCGTGAGTATCTGGAGAAAGGAAAGTCATGGGTTGATAAAATGTGAGTGAGTGTTGCTTTTTAAGGTCCTGCTGTAGAGCTTCTGCTGTCATGAACTACACAGAGCTGGAGAATAAAGTTCGTGAAGCGACAAATGATGAGCCATGGGGACCGCATGGAAAGATACTGAATGATCTCGCTCGAGAAACATTTGATGCTGAGGGGCTTTTGGAAATTATGACAATGTTGCTAAGTCGGATTTTCCCCGAAAATCCTAATAACTGGCGCCGTATATATAAAGTGTGTCTATATTTTTACATATTTCATGGTCTTTGATTCTACTTGGTCCGTTGTTTTTTGCGTGTGCTTAATTACTTCTTCTTTTCGAAGTAGTGCTGGGATCGTTGGTCACAAATAGTAGGACATGCCTGTTTTTTGTGAAATGTTTTTTCCTCTCTTACTTTTTTCTTTCCCTCTGGTGCAATTGGATTTGAGGTCTACTATTTTGAGGCATAATTTCAGGGTTTGACAGTTCTTGCGTATTTGTTGAGAAACGGATCTGAGCGTGTATGTGATATTGCTCTCGACAACGTCTACAACCTCCGTTCACTGGAAAATTACCAATGCATTGATGAAAGAGGACGTGATCAAGGCTCCTCGGGTATGATTTGCATAAGCTTAGTAGTACTTTCTAGTTCGAATCAAAGCTCACGAGGTTGTGGAGCTGCTTCAAGATGCTGAATTTCTTCAGGCTGAGCGGCAGAAGGCTCTTTCTACCCAGAAGGTCTATGCGGGTATTGGAAATAGTCACGTCATGGGACCTACCTACTCTAGCAACTATGGAATGTGAGTTGCCTTGATTTTCATGGAGTTTTGTTTTCTATTTAACTTCCTTCACCTTATATAAGTATTGTCTTTTCTGTTTCTCTTCTCCCTCCATTCTCCTACTTTTCATCCTCTAACCACGTGCTACTTAACTTGTATGTGCATGCATGTGTAAATGCGTGGTCTGTCATTGCAACGCACTCTAACCCTCTACTGAAAGGTCTGATGATGGCACCGGTGCCGATGATTGGAATTCTAGTGACTCCTATCATTTTCCTCGTGGTGCGCCTCAGGCTGAAATGCCGTGGCGTGAAAGAAAGGGGAGCAGTGAGAGGCGCACTAGCTTCTCATCCAATCGCCTGGGTAGTTTTGATTCCTGGAAGTTGGCTCGCGAACGCACTATCGTTGACGATGTCGCTGACAAGTTTTCTGATGTACTAAAAGCTGCTAAAGTCGTCACGAATGACCTTCTTGGCAAGCCGAGAGTTCCACCACCTTCAATGTAAGCGTTTCCGGTACTGCCTGGTTGCAACACATCAAACACCCTTAGAAGAACATTTCTTTTGCCGTGCTAGTGGTGGTGGTGCATTGGTTTATGCATCTCATTCTTATGAACTCGATCCAGAAGGAAGCTTTTCTTGCTGTCTTAAATTTGTTCCACTTAAAGCTATACCACGTAAATTCTGGCGGCCCTTCGTTGAGGGTCAAAAATACCTTAAAACTGATCACTTATTGGGGAGAGAGTACTCTGTGTTTACTTTTACTTCGTAGTTTCATTACCTTGTCATAGCCTAATGAGTATTGGTGCCCATACGTAAATAGCGTGAAGGATGCAGCACGCATGCATTCACATTGATTTGGTTTTCCGCATTCTTTGCCTGATGCAAATGAGCAGTTGTGGTGCTTCCTTGCTTCCTAATTAAATAAACGCTCCTGTCTCTTGCAACCTCTGTTTCTTCTGCGCCATTTGCTTCCTTCCTCCTCACTTGTGCTGCTGTATGAAATAATATAGTGAGATTTGGCACATTCTCACCCCTTATGTGTCCACGTCAAATGTATGCAATGGGCTGGGTGGTTTTGTGTGTCATAGTGAGAAACTATAGAAACCGTTGTATATAATTTCTACTTATGACTATTTCGACTTAAAAGTGATCTCGTAAACAGAGTGGTGCTTTAAATATAGGTAGATAAATTAACCACCACTGTGACAAATTGGGTATGCTCTGTTGAATTTATGGTGTAGTCGTTAAAAGTTGAGGAACAATAATGTTAGATGTTGCTTAGGCACCAGGCCTGTGCTTTGCATCTCCTGTTTGCGTTTCTAGTCGGTCAATGCAAAGATTTTTTTGCCCACATGGTTCTTTCTTCTACGCCTTCTCTGGTGTGGTATTATGGTTACTTTCACTCGCTATTAGTTTTTCCGATGAAACTGCCTTGTTGTCTCGCTCTCCCCGTTCCTCCATTCGAATGTGAGTTTCTGTTTTGCACATCGCTTTCGACTTCCACGGCGGTGCTGTCACACACACACACGTGCACACGTTTCGTTTTACTGAGGCAAAAACGACCGGCTATCGTTTGCCTATCTGTGCATATGTGCTCTCAACTCAGCACTACACCAAAATGTGATTCATTTCACCGGTATTTTGGCTACTTCGAAATGTTGAAGTGTTGATTTTGCTACGTATATCTGTTTGTCCAAGTAATATGTTGTCTGGGTCCTTCCACCACTATTGACTTTTAGTGTTCAGTCAGTGCTCATGAGTTTGAAGCCACGATTTGTTTTACCCTTCGTGTATGTGTGTGGCCTTGCATGATACAATTTCGTTAGTGAGGTCATACTCTTGCCCGTTTTAACCTGTGGCATCTTTGCATTGAACACACGTGTAGCCTTTTGTACTTTGAACTTTGTGTGTGTTTGCCGTGCATTTGTGTCTGTGTGCGTATATCGTGTTTTTTTTCAAATGGGCTGCACTAGATGCCATCACTTCTTCGCCAACATACAAGCATTATCGTCCTAAAGTGGACCTCATTTCACGCTCCTCCAATGGGGTGTGTGGATTCGTGGGAATCTTCAAGATATGTTAGGTACATGAACGATAAGTTAAACCTTGCTAAACACTCAATTATCGTGCACTAGGTGTCCGGTGGTTGGACTCGAAGCATTGACTTCATTCTCAACCGAGCCTAGAGCTTTGCTCTAGGAGTGCCATTTGGGCTTTTATTCGATTGGGGGTGGAACAGCCACCCTCCACACAGCCCATTTGAAACATTTAATGTGAATGTTTGACGAATAATGGAACGCCTAGAATAGCATGCCTCTCGCACCCACTTCAAGTTTCTGACAAGGACATAAAGTCAAATTCGGAATAGAACCGATATGCATTTGTTCATACTCCTGATTGCGTGCCTCACAATAGTTTGTCGGCTTATTTCATATGGCTGACACGTCGACTTCTACGTCCCCAAAACACAATGCGCTTTGCTAATAAGTTATGCAGCTTCAACATTTCTGTTGCTCCGCCCCTCTCCTTACCGCAAGGCTTACTCTCAAAACCCAAACTCGCTTCTCTTACGTTTATACAAGTTAATTTTTAACAGATCAGACTTAATCGCCTCTTATTTTCAATGTTTTAATAGGAGTTATCGCTATTATTCCATATTTCATGCATCCTGTGTTTGCGTATGGTTGCTAGGTTACCACTAATGTTTGAGGCGCACCTACATTAAGCCTGATTACGAAGGCACCTGTAATTGTACAATTCGGCGCTCTCTCGAGTGCCTTTTTGTGGACATTTCTGTTGTGAGGGTTGGTGTGTACTCTCTCGACCTCAAACAAGGACTAGTAGTTCTGAACGTGGTGCCGTGACTCTCTGACACAATAGGCGTTAGCAACTACCTTGCAAGACTCAATTTGTGCTTCTTGCTTTTTGATTGAAACACGTTGATCAATTAGCGCTTGTTCGAGGCAGGGGGCACTGCTTGCTTGCATTAACTACGCCTCCCCTCACTCTGTAGGTACGAGGAGGATCCGCATAAGGTTTCCGAGGAGGTATTCAGTTTCCCCGATGCAACAGTTGAACAGGCAGAAGAGGAGCATAACTCTTGTCGGCGGACCTCTAACACCTCCAAAGTCTCATCACCCATCCAAACTAGTCGCAAACCGCTTTCGAAAGAGGCTCCAGCTACCCTGATCGACTTTGATTTTCCTTCGGCTGGTTCTGGTGTCACGGTGCATAATTTTTTTTCCTTTGAAACGGGTCTCTGTATTGGATTTGAAAGTTAACCTTTCATTGCAGTCTACTTCGAGCACCGTTTTTCTGTGTGGTAGTCTCCGTCTATCAAAGTAAGGAGCGTAGTTGCGGTTGCAAACTATTAGAGTGGGAACTACCCTTAACCCTGAAAAGCGATATTTGGAGGTGGTGGACTAGGTTTAAATCAAAAGGCAGCGATGGAAAAATATAGCTATTATGTGGGACAGTAAGTGTTCTCGTTAAACTAACTCGTTATCTGCTCTCCGCGGGCTGAATAAGGATTCTGTGCCGATTATGCTCCTGGTGGAAGCAGAATCTCCGTGGTCTTGGAAAATTGGCCCTGGTTATTGAAGCTTTCGCTTTCTTTTAGAGTCCGACAAGGCTCCCGAGGCCGCCCTCGACGGAAGTGCTGGCGTCACCGCTTAAGAATAGGCAGGACGAGGACAATGTCGATTTCTTTGCTGAGCTGGATAAGCATCAAGCCAAAATGCCACAGAATACTCTAACTGCTGCTACCGAGTTAGTTCAGTACTTTGTCGATTTGGTGTCTTTCATGGCATGCTTTAACAAAGGGAAGGTTTTGCGACGTTGACACATCAACAATCAAATGGCTAGCTGTAGAGTGTGACAGAATCGTGTCATCCTGACCTTTGACAAGCCTTTGCCATGCATAAATATCTGCTGCCATCACCTGTTCATTCAACTATACCAAGCTTGGGTCGATGGGGCCACCGTGATGGAGATTGCAGTAACAAATGTGTGTGTCTGTTTCACTGCAAGCGACTATCAACAGCGTTGGTATTGTCTCTAAGCAGGATCGTTTCTTTACAAAATCATTCACGGACTCCAACGTTGTTGTTGTTGTCTACGTGGTTGCTTTTTCCAAAACAGTTAGTCTCTAGCTCAGCTGATTTTTCTGTATTTATTTCCTCTTTAACTTCTCAGAACATATGGTGGTTGAGAAAAAGGATGCTGAACAGAGATGTGCCTAAATTTATCGACACCGAATGGCGGTAGATATTTTGTTAGTCAAAAGTGATTATTTTCATATGGTGGGCGTGATTGCTTTAAATTTTACGCATGAATTTGTGAGGTCGTCAAAGACTCAAGACGGTTACTGCCATCTCAAAGGCCCTGGCATGCAATTGTGTCTGAAACATGTGTGAGACTTCAGCTAGTTCTTAGTTAATAGTTCGATTTGATGTTGAGGTTTCTGTGCTTGGGCGAACTTGTTCCGCTTTGCATGATGGTATGGAGAATTTGAGGGAAGAGAAGTATTTCATTAACTGCTGATTGTCTTAGCCTCTTTGCGAGCTTCAACGCTGAAACCCCACCCATGGCCACACAGACCACTTTGACATCTGTTTCCCATGGGGTCGCCGATTTTGAGGATTTCTCCAGCTTTCAAGTCGCTCCTAACTCTGAGACGCCAGCACAAACCTTTAGCAACACCATCTTGCAGTCGACCGAGCAGTCAGTGGACCCCCTTTTCGATGAGTTCACGTCACCTACTCAGCTCTCCTGCGCACATTCTGCCATGACAACAGTGCTCACTCCCTCAAAGTCCCCAGTAAGTCAGATTGCTTAGTCTTCATACACCTACTTCATAGCCTCACAACTGCGTGCAAGTGTAGCATCGAGGAAATGTTGAGGAACATTTAACATGAACTAAGCACCTCCACTTTAAAAATAAGTTGTTGTGCAGTCGCAGTTGTGCCTCTCCCCTTTCCTTCCAGTTTATAGTCTTCTCGAGGCGCCCTGAAATTACTCCTCCATATCAATCGCCATGAAGCATTCGACACTTTTACAACCAGCTGTTTGCGCTTACACATCAGCTTGCCATCAAGTACATGTCTTCAAGCTCAGTGAATCCGGTTAGGATGCATTTTTTGCGACCTAGTGGGTTTGTATGCCTCAAAGGACCGTAGCGTTCGGTATTTCACATGCCACTCGCTGTCAGCACAAACATTTGTATTCATTAGTAATTCGTCTTCGCTACACCTCTTATTTTAATTATGCCTAGCGACTCATCAATACCATTCCCAGCATTGCAAAATCTAAATGAGGCGAAGTTTCTTAAAGTTAGTCTCCTTGTAATCTCTGTAGATACTTCCATGCCGAGCACTCACGAGTGTCGAAATGTTCTCAAACCTCTCCCAACAGCCCTTCCAGTATGCCCACTGTTCCCCACATTTTGGGTTCCCGCTTCTACTGCTACTCAGACAACTGATGATTGTGCTGAAAGCAAAGAGTCAACCTTCGGGGCCATTTAAAAACAATGCTTGGGCACATTTAGGTTGTGTACGCGCCTTCTGTAACAGTGTCACCCGTCAGCAATCACTTTTTGCCGTCGTATTCGGCAAACCTATTGGAGTTGATCCCGGTGTCTTGTATTAAGCCCTTGATCATAACCTAAGGAAAAGGCAGCATGTGCTTCTCACTGATGATACCGACGTCAAAGCACAAATCCTAGCTATCTGAAGTGGTGAAATTGTTGATTTGAGTGTCACAACATTATCGTGCACTGATGATGAGCTCGTGTTCTATTTTTCGCTTTGAGCTCAGCTGAACCAGCGATGAGGTCATGCATTCATGATGGTCATGGGGATTGTCTCCATTCTCTCCGTCAGGCTTCACATTCGTCGCACACCTGTAATTTTTTTCGTTTTACCTGCGAGGGTGCTTCCATTTTGCCTTGTTTCTATCGGCCTCTGTCTAGCATAAATGCTTTGCCCTGTTTGCTAAACTTCAAGTATTGTCGTCTTAATTACACACGGGTATGTGAGAAGGCGGATGGTGGAAAGAGTACCAAAGCGATAAAATTCGTTTACCTACCGGGTTATAGCAAATGCAGGCATAAGTGTGCTGTGCTCTTCACCACACCAACGCGAAACTGTCAAATGGAGGCCCGTGTACGTGGCACACATTGGCGCTGACATTTGTTTGCGCTTGTGTGCGTGGGTGTGGATGCGCGAGGGTATCACCTACCTCCGATCAATCTCTTGCCCCACTTTAGTGACTGCCCGGGCTTTTCCCGCTTCCCACAGGCCTGGATTATCTTCTAGCCTATTTCAGCTTTGGCCAGCCTTAATCTTTACAGCCTTAGTTGAATTCTTCTTTCACTGTTAAACGGCTGGAATACTTTGTTGACAGATTCAGCACTACGTTGTTGTGAACTTTGGTAGTTCCACTTTACAGTTTGTATCAGGTCGAATTTTGACATCTCTTGCTGCAGTTGCAACCTCAGCAGCCTTCGGCAACTGTACTAAATACCACCACTGATCAGCAGATGTGTGGCAAATCGACAAGTGCCTCTTCCAGCGTCGGTAAGACGTGGAGCGGTTTGGACGCTTTCAATCTCGACATCGACTTCAAGACGGTTGCTAACAGTGCCACAAAACCCGCTGCTCCAAGTCTCAGTCAGTTGCAGAGCCTCAAACAGAATAAGTCGGTAACTCATCCGGTGTCGCCTCAAACAACCTCGTGTGGTAAGAGTCTTGTCTTGCCTTTTAATCATTAACCACCTTTGTGCTCCTCATCACGAAATAGAGAGTAGAACGGCAAGGCACTGAGACTGGATGAATAATTACGGGATATTTGTGTACTCCTTCAAACCCTGATGCACTTCGTTGAAGGGCTTCATAAGTATCTAGTTTTGCGGCGATTTTCGTCCACTCATGGTCTCCTTTTTTTGGTATTGCAGGTGCCACCTTTGGCTCAAAATCACCAGGCAGCTCAAAGATGGATGACTTTTCAAATTTTGCGATTTTTAAGTAACTTTATCGCTAAAGGCGATCCATCCGTCAAGGTTATTATCAAGAATGTCTTTCACTAAACCGAATATGCTAAGAATTTAAGTCTTCATGTTTGACCTTTATGTATTGCACCTTGTAATAGGTGAAAAGGTAACTAGACCTAAAAGTGATACGTTAAGGAAGTGAAATGGCAGAGTTTGCGATCTATAACTTTGGTGTGGAATTGGATGGCAGTGAAAATGAGGACCCGCAATGAGCAAGGGGACGCAAGGTGAAGTGAGGCAGGGTACCGTTAATTAGTAGAAGTGGTGATGGACTGGCGGGTCACCGTACTGAGCAGGTCAAAAGAGGGCTCAGTAAGGTGGCGTAAAAGAAATATTCTGTTCTTGTCTTGTGCTATCAAGAGTGCCTGTGACGAAGGAGGTGGGTTATGCAAAACGAGTAGGAGTGCGGAACTGTTAAATATCGAGGAAAGGTGCGGGGTCACGCATTGATGGACCTTTCGTGATACCACGTTGGTAAATGCCTACTGATGAAATAAGAGTAGGTGGAGAGCGTAAGGTTGTATTATCGAGCGATGCTGCAGTGGCCTGGGTTAGGGGAAGAGATGCCAAGTACAGCCCCTAAAGGAGTCATGATCATTAGAGCAAGGCGTGGCAGCATATTTGAAGTGGTGTAGGAAAGGGATCACTGGAGGGGCTGATGAGTACTGACAGAGGACTAGGAAGATGAGATGTGTTGTTAGCTGCCATGATATTGTTAGTCGGGTCTCAGGCAATGCGATTCCGGTAATTCCTACTTTGTCAACATGTCTATGGGTTGGCATGTTGTTGCAATTCTCCGAGGACTGATTCATTAGGGGAACTAAGAGCAGACCTTGGCAAATGGTGAAATGGTGCAAGGAGGGGGCCTCCTCTGGAACTATGCGTACGAAGAGAGAGATAGGGAGAAGAAAAAGGAAGGGGAAGGAGAGATTTTTTCCTTTTCTCTCAAGATTAATGTAGTAACTCTACGCAAAATAAACCTCAAGTTCATAATGTAAGCGATTTTGTGACATGCCATAAGAACTCTCATTCTACATTAAGGGTCAATTTTGGTTACATTTAATGGACTGTGTTAACAGATTACAACTGATGAGGTTAATTAGAACTGCTCAATGGTGGGGAGGGCGGAAGGGTAACGAGTAAGCTAATCTTGTTAAATCAACTATGAATCCTAATGATTTAATACTTTCCTTGTCATAAACTAATATGTGATAAGGACGAATTCAAACCTTCAGCTACCGACAAAGCAACGAGCATTTAGCAAACGACCAGCACCATTCTTTCTCCATAGCCATTTAGAGCAGAAGAACAGCCGAAAACAGTCTCATCATTAGGAAAGGCAGTAGGAATAAGACATTCTCAATATAAGCATCAGAAGTTGTGCTCCCCGAGCGGGGTGGATCTGCTCATAAAGGACACTCCTTGTCCACATTGACAACTTGACGTTCGCTGATGAGCTGACCGTAGGGTTCAGTAGCACCCTTTGGTAGGGTAGCTAGGTAGACCGGAGTGTCGGCACCTAAACAAGTATGTCGATTCTTTTTTGTCAATGGAACCCGCACACGGTTGGTGTATCAGGCGATAGTTAAAGCTTCGAACTAATGTATTCATATTTGGGATTAAACTTGTAATTTTTCTTCACTAAAATAACAGCACATCCAAAAACCATACCAAGTTTTGATAGATGTGGAAAGTGGATAAAGATGTGGTAGTCCAAATATTACCTTCCAAGATGGTCTTGTAGCCCTTGTGACTAGTCAAGTCCGTGTCAACGTAGCCAGGACAGCACTAAGAATTCAAAACAGGTGATGTTATCAAAACTTTGAAGTCTCATCAGATTGTGCCACTTCACGAACTCCTACCGAGTTGATGAGGATGTGACGAGGATCATCTTTGAATTGTTCAGCTAGAATGGAAGTGGCTTTCCACACACCAATCTTCGACATGCCGAAAGCGAAGCCACAAAAGCCCACCTTTTCATGGTCTCCCGCCTCTGCATGCCTTAGCGTGGTAAAAGCGAGCATCGCCATGAATTCATCGTGACGGGTGTAGAAAAAAAACAAAAAAATATTTACTTTCATGAAGAATAGGTGACAAATTATTCAACACACCTGACAAACGACGCCATTAGTTCATCCACCTCCTGCATACTCAACGGACCCTTGAACTTCGCTGCCATCTCCTTCGACATCGCCCTCAGCGACATCATTGCAGCCATGCTGGCCACGTTGACAAGTCTGTGCAAGCCAACCATCCACTCCACATTACCTCACTTACCTCGAATCCTTCGCCATCAGTGGCAAGAACTCCACACACATTTGCACAGTGGCTGTGTAATTCGTGCCAATGGTTACTCTCGCTCGCTCGCCGAACGGAGCCGTGGAGTCCACCTACATGCCAGTGTGAGAAGTTGTGTGCGCACCCACTTTGTACGCGATCCCAGCATTATTCACCAAAATGTCTATCCCCTCCGCATAGTTCTCCTTGATGAATGCGGCCAGCCTGTGTCGACTCTCTGCATCTGTGATGTCCAGTTGGTGGAACTTCACGCTCAGACCCTTCTCCTCAAGCACCTTCACGGCCTCCAAACCCAGCTTCTCGTTTCGCGCAGTCAGGTAGACGTGCCACTCGGAAGTTGGTTTCAACTCTCGAGCCAGTAGCTCCACAATTCCATTTCCAATCCCTTTGTTAGCACCCGTAACCTGCAGCAGAAGTGATTGGGTGAAGGGATAAGCACAACATGGCATCACATTACGGTCTTCAAATGCCTCAAACTAGTAAATTGTCAAGATGAATTCAACAGAATGAAGTAAGCGTACAATAGCCACATGCATGGTCGTCTCGATGAGAAAAAAAGTACTGTTGAGCAACTCAAGAAGCGTGGATGGTACTGCCATGACCTTGACAGTTAATTAGAGGCCGCATCGCATTGGCTGATTAGCTATTCGAGTTTTCACATGTCAAATAGGTTGTTGCTTTACGTATGTTGCACTGCTGTCACTGTCAAGTCGTGGTAAGTAGCCCGCACACGAGGTAGCACTAAAGTCAAGTCATAGCTAAGGCAGTTTCTGGTCTTGGAACGCATTGGAGTACCGAGGATTTGAGGAGGTAAACTTGTCTCCTCCTTTTATTGCACAGCATTTCTAAGAGAATGCGGCTAAAATGACTCCATTCTGTCTCCCCTAGAACCTGTAAGAGTTAATTCCCTTATGCGTTTGGATGTCCTATGGGAGTTGTAAATATGCATATGTCTCAGCCAATGTCTGCCCTGCAAACGAATTCATTGCAGCCCATCAGCATAATTTCCTAATTCCTTTAGTACCAAGAAACCGCAGCTGCATTTTTTTAAGGGAAAGAAAGGAAGGCATTTGTAATTACTAAGTCTGCGGATAGCATTCAAAGGAGAAGGTCAGTGAACTATTGTGGAGACGCAATCAGGTGAAGTGGTTGACCCACCTCAAAGGTCTAAAAAGTCTCACGTAGCCAGTTCTAGCCAAAAACTTTTAGTTCTTTGCACAATGGCAATAAGTCGACGCTGTTATTGACAACAGCTAATTAAGTTGTTGGTTTTCTTACTACCAAACGTGACTTCCTAGCTTCCGGATTCTCTTTTTAACCTTTTACGCTATCATTATCAGGTACTTACACCTCATCATGACACTGAACGTATTCTAGGAAAGGCGAGACGCATTGCCCCAGGGGAGCCTCTTGCATAAAGGGTCTTGACTGGATGCTTTGTGATGAACTAGCATTCTATCTACTATTACTTTACAACTTCACAAAAGTGTCCCAACAGTGTCGTTTATAAGAAAGGAATTTAATGAGACTGAGTTGGACAAAGTGTAGAGGTGCCACAAACTCCAAAATACCTGTCCTTGTCAGATAGGCGATGACAAATTTCAAAACAACGGGAATGTTACATTTAAATTTTAACCTCTCCTCTACCTCCTTCCACAGCTGCAATTGGGTTCGTCCTGATGGCTAGGTGTTTTGTGCAAAGCGAAATCTTTTTTTTGAAAATGGATTGTTTATCCAAATTATTGCCTGTAGAGAAATAAAGTGGAGTAGCAAAACCATGCACGTGGCAGAACATCATTAAGGGTCTTTTGACACTGCAACCTATAACGGCACCACCGATCACGCCGTCGTCCAGTGAAGGTCGCATTGTGTCCGAATGGCAAGGCGTCACCTCCACACACTTCGGTGATTGCGGAGACGTGACACCTCACCGACCATCCACTCTAATCAGCTCTGCATGGACACACGACAAAGAAGACATCAGCAGTGTCTTCAGTCTCCCTACTTGGCGAACACTCCATCCACTCCTTCCATTTCTCCTCATCCCAAAGTGTCAAGACGACGTCTAAATCCAGATACAGAGAGGTCGGGTCGAAGTTCTCCTCACCAACAACTGCAAACTATTCAACCAAACAACCGAATTGGTGGATACTCGACAAAGTGCTCCCAAGTCGTAGTTATCGACGCCAAATTAGCACGAGTAATCTACTGCAATTCCAAGCACCTCCTCTGCTTCTACACGAAGTAACCAATTTTCCTACTACACAGGACAGAGGGCAAAGAGTGTCTCGGCTTGTTTCCTTACATGCATAGCCATGACGGCACTGAAGATGGTGACAAGGTCCAACCGGATATTTCGAGACGTTTGACAACATCAAGACAACATAACTGCCATCCATTTTACTCCAGTCAAAGCATGGGTCAGTGTTGTAGGAGTGATTGGAAGGTGTCCTTAAGCGTAGAGGAGATTGAACAACCTAAAATCTACGTGAAATATCCAACATCACAAAAGAGAGAATTATTAAGCAACCTCCTACTTAATCAACAATTTAAATAGTGCTGCTGTAATTCCTCGATCGTGTGACCACCTGATGGTGGGTGGTTACTTTAAGATTGGTCTGGCTACGACACGCGTGGTCTGGTCCTCGAAGCACACTCCGATCTAGTGCCTTCGTTCTCCCCCACCTAATACATGTATTCAGCCCCACTTACTGCCTTCTTCTAACCTGCGCAATGTCTCACAACACTGCAGGTGCTTTTTGTGGTCCTCTTTAGTCTCCTTGACGTGGATCACATGGTCACTTTAGCGGTCACGGCAACGACTACCCATACCTTCTCCGTCGCTGCATCCTCGAGGGCTGGGCGGTGCATCCCAGTACGCCAGTCAAGTCAACCCATACTGTGGCGTCGCGCAACTTCCCACTAGGCAGGAGGAGGCGTTGTGTATGGCTAACTGCACACATTTGTAAGGTAGGAGTGCAGGCGACTGGACTTCCACTCGCCTCCAAAGGCAGTCCACGCAAACAAGAGCGAGGTGACTGGCACTCACACGCGTAGTGAAACAACCCCAAACACCACACATTCTCCATTAAAATTAG